GCAATGGTGGTGGAACTTAGCTATGGACTGGAATTACATATTGTGTGCAATCCTTTACTTTGTAGAGAGAGAGAGCAACATGATCATACTCTTGTGTGCAGCACTAATGACTCTGTAACTTAGCTACCTTCCACCTTTAATGGTGAAAGAACTTAGTTATGGACTCATATTACATATTGTGTGCAATCCTTAACTTGAAGAGAACAACATAATTGCACTCTTGACTTTAATAATCTACATAGACTATAGCGAGAAATTAACTTATGGACTGCGGTTATATATTGTTTGTAATCCCTACCCTTGAGAGAAAAACATTATCATACTCTTCAGTGGCACCACCAATGACTCTATCGTGTGATTGACTGTAATTGCATATTGTGTGTTGAAAAATTGTGATCTAACATACTCTACCAAAAACCAAAAATATATATATAAACATGTGTACAATAAAAATGATTAATATTTTGTGTTTACTTCTTCTTCCTTAATCTGCTAAAAGGTGGCATAAACGATGGATTTCCTGTTTACAAAGAGTTCTCAGTTTTTGAAAATATTGATGATGTGTGCGTTTTTTAATCTATTGAACACAGTTGAAGTAATACGTTCAGTAGAAAGGAGGAGTCTGGGAATGAGTCTGGATATCGACTTTGAAAATATTGAAAATTGTAATGTCTGAAAAACCAACTCAATCACACATATTATTAAACTTCAATATCTTCTTCTTCTTCTGAGAGTACAAAGATATCAATTTGTATCACAATAAATGAAGAATATTGGCATCAAAGAGAATGCATATGACATTGCCACAGTTGAAAAAGATTCAAGTGCAAATACTAAATGAATAGTTTATACTAAAAATTTGAAACATATCCTCCAAAACATTGCTTACTTTGTTTGTATAGACATTGAATGGTATTTTTTGATAAGTAAATTGGTATTTATCTGAGTAATCAAGGGATTGTAGTCACTCAAAGTCACTGAGCATCCAGTTTTGACACTTTTGTTGGTGAAATTATACATATTTCAGTCCAATTCATGCTGAGCACAACATTTTGGTTTCAATTTTATAATCTCTATACATGACCCTGCTGATGAAGAGTCCGAATCAGTCAAAAAACTCAAACCGGAAAACTGTGCTCATTGTGAAAACTAAAAGTCCAGCAACTTTTTTCTGATATTTCTTACATCAAATTGCAGCCATCTTGTTTTTCCCCCTTCAAATTAAACTGGCGGGAAATTCAAAAATTGAAGGATTGAAGTGAAAAAAATTCAATCCTTAAATATATTTCAAAAATATGAATTTCTTTTTATAATTCTTCATGGGTCTTTTGAGTTATTTCTATTTTACATGTCATACATGTTGCAATTAGTGTTTTTTCTATGATCATGCTTATTTGTTTTCTGTTAGGATACTTATTTTGACTCTCAGCAGGGGGTTAATTATGCATCAAAACTCATGAAAAAGTACATATACTTAACAAATATAACTAGGACAGTTATAAAAATCATATTTCACATACATTTAACCGAGGGACCAAAAGGGCATATATATCCAGACTCATCCTTTCCAATTTGATTTCTCTAAAGTCTACTGAAATGCAACTAGAAGGCCTTGTTGATATGCCAAAGTAAAATTGTAAACCTTTATTTAACAAAGAATAAATAATGTTTTGTGTCAATCGTGATTTACTCTATCTACAAGTTTTCATGTGATCCATGGTTCTCGGCTTTCATTGATCTCTTAATATGTTGAAGATCAAAAGATATCAGCTTCAAATTATCACTGAATACATGTATGTCCAAGATCCATAATTGTAAACTTCCAATGATCACTGGAGATCCATAGTCACGGCTTTAATTTAATTAGCTAAAAGCTAAAAGTAGGAGGGTAGGAAAGGTCACTGAACAGAATCTTTTGAATTTTTCAGAAAATGTGCCCAATATATTGCTCTAAATGATACAATCTTTGAAAATTTGATATCATTCATGGAAAAAGAAAAAAAATGAAAAATCTGATTTTAAAAGCGATTTATTTTCCTTTTTATGACTGCCATTTTTGTTTAAGACAATTTTCTAAAGTTTCAAAGATTGTATCAGTTAGAGCATTATATTGGGCACATTTTCTGAAAAATTCAAAAGATTCTGTTCAGTGACCTTCCCTAGCTCCTACTTTTAGCTTTTTTTCAGTCACACTTTCAAAGGGCTAAAAAGGTTATTTCATCATGTTTAGGGTCATTCTGACCCTGCACATTGTGATCCTGGACCTGTAAATGGTATTTGGAACTAGTTGAATCGACTGGAGGTCAAAACACAACTCTGTTATCTTTGTTCAAAAAATGTCTAAAAATGCAAAAAAAGTTGACACTTCCTGTTTTGTCATTTCCTGTTAACTTCCATAGCACCTTAAAGTAACTGTCTAAATGATAGAGAGATGTAGCACACTCAATGGTGAACTGATCGTAAATATCATCATTTATGCAAATATCCACTCTACCACCGTGTATAGAGTAAGCTATGTCTTTCGTTATAATAGTGTACTAGTAAACTGACTACATGAGCCTTCCTGATAGGCAAATTGCAGACTGTGTGGACAACCATGAGCCTTCAACGTAAGCGTGAGTACTCGAAAATTATTTGTATCGGTAGGGTCTTTTCCCTTCCCTTTAAATAAAGAAATCATAATCCCAATCTTAAAGGGTGACGCATATCGTTTAGCAAATCGAACGCTCGTTTCTGGTGTTGCTCACCGTTTAGTATAAAAGGCCCGATCCCGGAATAATACTCAAGGGTTCACAGGTTCGAGGTCGTTGTGTCAACACCTCTAACTGTTATATAGCATAAGTATATTATAGATCGTCACACATTTATAAAAGGGTGATTTTTATTTTGACAAATCAATTCCACATTTATAGGTGAAGTTTCAGGATCTTCTATTTGTGTATAATAAGGAAAAATTGGCATCTAAATTTCCCCATAACGTAATAGCACACAGCTTGGCATATGAAATATCCTACAAATGAAACAAAGCAAGACAAACCGGTTTCTAATACAAGAATTTATATTGGCTGTTGTACATGTATTAATTGAACGCAATCACTCTTTGGATAACGTTTTCAAAATCATTATAAACGGATTACTTTATCTCAAAGACAATTTCAATAAACTGGATTTTACAGAACTCCCCTTATTTCTTAAAAATGGACTGATCCAGTTGATTCGCCTGGAGCCGCCATATTGTTTTTATACGGGATGCTAATCGGAACCCTTTAAAGGTTTTTGGTATCGAACACAGACTTATCATAGCGTTGAATATTATCTATAACAAATCAGTTAAGCTATGATCACTATACTTAAGATGCTCAACTGTTACCATATCATGACCAGGTGCTTTATTGTTTGTATATGTAGCTATGCTATCTATAACTTCATTTTCATTAATGGGGTCTGCAAAAATACAATAAGAATTTTCAAATGACTGTTCCCATAACTTGTAAAATTCTTGATCGATATATGTCGGGTCGAGATGACTTGGGGTCGACTTGACAAGGGTCGACTTGACCTGGGGTCGACTTGACTAAGGGTTGAGTTGACTTGGGGTTGAGTTGACCAGGAAGCTGATGATCTGATGAGTTAAAGGGTGGTCAGTAACAACAAAACATTCACTGACTAAATCTAGTTTTGAAGCTTGTATAAATGTAAAATCTACACATGATGAAACATCGTTTCGATAAAATGTGTGTTTTGGACCATATGTAAAATGTAAACAGCAAAAATAAAAAGCCTACAATCTTCTTCCGTTCCGATCTCTATACCACATATTCTATCATTTATGGTAATTTTGTTCCTCACTATTAGACTTTTTTTGTAAATTATGGCTACTCCACCATGGCCTCTACATGCAACATCATCAACTGATAACCCTTTTTGACTAACACCGTGTGAAATATAGTTCAGATCAAGGGAATTCAGAAAATTAAGATTGTCTGGATATAGCCAATGTTCTGTTAACACAATTACACGCATCTTTTTCATAATGCTTGTAAGATATGGACTGCCATACATTACCCCGTTACAGTAGTGACCAGACTCCGTGCGACGATATGGGATTTTATTCTTGTTATATTGACTAGGCGAGAGCTAGTCTCGACATCCAATGCTTTTGGGGCAGAATTGACTATGTCTTGCCTTTGAATAGTCTTTAGCTAACACAGTAACGTGATTCGTATTCTGCTTGAGGGATATCGTCTGATGATGGTTTCGTCGTACTGGTTTTAACACTATGAATGGGCATCTTATACAACTCATGGCTAGTAGATGACCGTTTAGCCTGTTTAGCCTTAACTGCATGTTCTGCAGCTTGCTTTTCAGGCCATGTAGATATTGAATTCTTAGGTTGCTGTGAAGAGTCAGCTTTACGTTGTTGGTTGATGCAAGGTTGTGCCGAGAGGGAGCGTTGGTGATTGTTGTAGATGCACCAGAGTGCAGTGCTGAAGTAGTACTGCATGCAGGTTGTGCATGTGTAGGGCGAAGCGAGGTTTGACTTGTAGAACTCGATAATGAAGTGGTAATGATTTTAGTAGCAGTTTGTATATGCGTAGCATCTTTCTTCTGAGTTGACGTGCTTGGAATCGATGTTGAGGTTTTCGACTCTAAGGATGACTTTAGTTGTTCAACGGAAGGTAAGCTCCAGACCGACGTTACTGCTGCCACAGCGGGTTTGTAGTCGGACAAACTTGCGTGGTGGGCCACTTTGTGCTCGGTTTCTTTCTGAAGACCACGGTTTTGGTAGTGCAACATCGGGGCACATCGCTTCTCAAGATCGTGAACTTTGCTTTGCAACGCATGCAAGTTTTTAACTAAAGTCTTTGTTTCAGATATTGTTTTGTTTAGGTCTTTAATTTCTTGTTTTTGATCATTAATTGTTTTAACTGCTAGCTTTGCTTCATTTTTTAGCTTTTGTTCAGAGTCTTTGCTTCGACTTAATTCATTTGTTAGCAGATCCACCTTTTTCTTCAACTCAGCTTCTTTTTCTTTCTTTAAACTTGTAATTTCTGATTTAATTTGCACGAGACCTTCATCAAAGATGGTTTTTATTTCATTTCAATCGTGCTTGCTAGCAGTGTTGCGATTTGATCATGGTTAACTAAGTTATATGATGTTGGATCTATGGATTTTGAGCTTAACTCAATAGATTTTTGTGAAGCCACCATTGATTTCCGAGATTTTGATTTTGTGTTGAGCATCAGTTTGACCTCTGAAATGTTTGCAGCTCCTTCTATAAACATATAGAGCGTGTATATATCACTTGCTAATATCGCTGTTATGTTGTCACCAGTTCCTCTACGTTTGGGACGTCTGCGTATTAGTGCCCCAGGTGGCATGGTGTTGGACTTGTGAATCCTCACGTAGTCGTAAAGTGCCTCTCGGACTGATGCTAGCCCAGATGTATCTTGTTCAGCAGTGATTCTTTGGATGCAAAGTGGTTTTGTGAGCGTTCCGCATGAATTCCTGATGTGATCAAGAATATCCGACTCGGTCTGAGTGTATATTGGTTCATCTTGTGAATCATCGGCACTAAATGTACTGTTGGAAACGTATTCATCGGAATCACTTGACGTAATTTCTACTTTTGCTGGCACAAAGAACTTTGATTTAGGTGTTGGAGTTGACGACATTTTATTGCTCTTAGGTCTCAAAATAGATGTCGCTCGAGTTCATAAGGGTAGTTATGATCACCATGTAGTTCTCAAATTGTTGCGTTATTATTCCAAAGATGTCACTGCAGTTCAATATGCACTGTTCGAATTCAACGAAGACACAAAGACGAATTAGCCTCTTTCACTGGCCCAGGTAAAATTGCCGGTGTAAAAAGGTAGGAGGTCCTATTAATTTATGGTCTTACTCTCCATTGATTTATATGGTGACCTCTTTGTGCTCTTTCCCTTATTATCTTATACACAATCAGGGCCAGAAAGGGCCTTTAAAAGGGGGGACCATTATCCCTGGGGGACCATAATTTCTTTCACACCGGCACGACCCGTGTAATATGTCTCTATACGGATTAGTCTATTACACAGACTAAATATATACAATGGCGTCCAGAGAAAAGTTTATATTATTGAATGTAGAATCAAAGAGCAACTAATAACCGTCTTTCTTGTCCTACATAAAGTATCGACTATCCATCTTGATCACGAGAATTTCCGATTTAATGTGTAATATATCCATTGAGACCCAGTACAAGCATATCATGTATATTTCACAAAATAATAGAGCCAAAAAAGTAAACGTTTTCAACTTCACGCATGCGCTGTCTGCTCAAAAATTCTTTTTGATAAGATTCCTCAGTGAAACTTCAAAAATGCTATTTTATGTGAGAAAACAACTATTAATGGTCCTTTAAAACGCTCAGATTGCACCAAACAACGTCTTCAATGACAAAATTTGTCCACGAGGAAGCATGCCCCGGACCCCAGATGCGCGGCCTTCTTCCAAGCAATCATTTGTCTAGCCATCTATATTTTCTGTAAAACGCACCCCCTTATTCAAATACGGTGGACACGTTTACGTCTCACGTTTCTCCAATTGCTTCCAGAGAGTACTTATTAATTGATATTCAAAATGACGATAATTGTATTAAGGTTGTCGTGTATGTTCGTAATTAACCTTCTGTCACTGAATTTTCTCGTTTTTATGCATTTTACGAAGCAAATGTTCTCACCAGTCTTTTCTAGGTACATAAGTGCACTTTTTTGTGCAAAACTGAAAATATAGACAATGAATGTGATGAAGGAGTGATTCCTAATTGAAAAATAACATGTGACTTTATTGAGGATTGCAGCAAAATTCCTAACATACAAACTAACCTTAAAGTTGCGATGTTCCGCAACCTTAAAAATCTTAAAAACAGGTTGCTTTTACATTCATATTTGAACGTCTATATCACATTCAATTTTTAATTTTTTTATTGGGAAACTTAACCTGATAAAACAGTCATTCCACATATAAGGAGACATTTAAGGTTCCAAACTTTTGAAAAATGAACTTTGTTTCATTGCATTAATTTTCAGATTTTGATTTTGTTTTATGTATCCCCTATAAAATCCCCAAGTTTTGGCATTTTAACTTTTATATATCAAAAGTTACACTATTTTGAAAATAAGAGGTGTAAAATTATAAAAAGCGTATAGTTTAAGATTCGTTCTCGATACCTGTTTTATTCTAAGGGGATTTTAGCTAACTTGATATGCGATGCCTTCCTCTGGTAATCTCTATTCTATAGATCACTAAGAAACAAAACTATAAATTGCATTTGGGAAATCACTAATCATTTTAATCAAGAAATAACATAAATTTACGTTGTAATGCATAAATGCCGTCGCTTCTCAAAAAAATTGTTTTACAAAAGCAACACTGTCATGTATTCTCATGATGTTTAACACAACATGTGAAAAGTTATTTTGGGCATACAATGAAACTATGGGATTTCGCTTTCAAATCATCATATATTTGTATGTGGCAAAGACATCTAGTAATAATCAGAAATAAGTTAAACTTGTCAGTGCAAAACAACGTCGCTTAAAGTGTCTCACATATTCGATCAAAAATTGCCATGCAAACATGTTAGTCTACTTTACTGGCCCCCCTTGCTGTAACAAGGAACACAAAACACATTAAAACGTAAACATAAACCAATTAGTCACTTCACTATGCATGTGAGGGGTGTTACGCTGTGTGCATGGACTAACACATTATCAGTGGTCATACTGTGTCAACTTAGTAACCCTTGCATATCGTGCTCACTCAAGTATTGAATAATTTTTTATGATATAAATGTTTGTGGTTTATAAAAAAAAGTGATATATTTTAGTTAGAAATACATTAATTAATATATTCATTCAAACAGCACTAGAATGCGGGAAGAAAGAGCAATGGTGACAAAATGCAGACAGAATTTTCCGTAAGGGTTTCAAACATTTCTGGACACAATCATACATGTACTTCATGTGTACTGTTATTTTTAGTGCTGTATTTATCGATATAATTTGACGTATTAAAATCATATTTTCCAGCAATGACTTCAAGTTCGGAACCACACCCATATCAAATTTTCTTCAATAACTCCAAACATGTGTAAACATTGACCATGTGCATATAAATTCAGATTTCACGAGCTCTTTCCTATTCGAGTACCTCATACACCCCTGCATGGATTTGAGTTGGATTCGCCTTTTATACGTGAGCCGGTACACATGGCAAACGCTGATTGGATAAAGATTGCGAGAATCTTTAAAGTAAAAATTGACGCAATTGTTAACCCACCGAATCTTTCTCGTATATATCCAGTCTTAAAACACAAGCTCCTGTCCATTGTATTGTCACCATAAACCATTTTATATCTTTTAATAGAGATACAAAATTACAAAATTACAAAATAATAACGTATCTTAATATCATTATCAAAACATTTTAACTCGATCAATACCATTTACTTATTTGTTTAGAAGAATATAAACTCGTGATATGACCAACTACAAACAATAACAACTTCTTAAACAACAAAACAACAAAACATAAAATGCTTCATAGCAGAGGCATATGAAAGAGAACGTCGCATAAATCTAAGACATTTCGTTCCTTTACAAATGTCAAATGTTTATTTCACTGGAATAAGGTTTTAGCCAACGTTTTCACTAAATGTGCTCCACTTTTGCAAGATCAATTGCATGTCACTGGCGGCGATTTTCATCATTCGTGCGTGCTTCCCAGTTGCAAGTGGGTCTGAAATTTTACACAAAATATCATTTTCCTTAACCCAAATTAGATCTGTTTTCTTGGGCCATTGGAATAACTGCCCTTTTTCTTCATGAAATTAATTTCATATTGTCCGTCCTCCTCATCTCTGTCCACAATCTTTCCAATATACCAATTTCTAACATATAACGCAGCACAAAACTCATCTTTGATGTATCTCATTGCTGATATTTCGTTGTTTACTTGTGCATTATTGTTTACATCACTTTTCTCTGAGCTGGATTAATTTTTAGACTTTGTATTAGTGAGTTTTGCTCCAGTCCACTTGTCACAAAAGTCTCCGTTTAAACAGCGTTTGCAATAACAGCTGACATCGCTCATCATGACAATGTTGTTCCCGATCCCAGAAATTGCATGTAGCTTGAATGTCCCTTTCAAAGGTTTGACTTTGTCACGAAGTTCAAGCTCATTCTTTTTGACTGCGCATCTTTCGGAACTTAACCAAATGAACTTGACAGCCTTCATCGTTACTTTTCAAGGTATTTTTGTCCCTCGATTCTTTTCTTTCTTTCTCTTTAATTATTTTGAATTTCTGGTTTAGTCTTGGCCATACAGCAACAAATTGTGAATTCCCGGGTTAGTTACCACTATTAAGACAGAAATAAAACAAGTATTAAGCGTTATTAAACGTTATCAAAAGCAACGTAGCTTAATTGATATAAAACTCAAGTCGTAGCGGTTTGGGAAAAAAGTTGACATCATGTTTTAACAATGACCAATTAAGTTGTTTATTTAGAATATCTTTCAACCGAATCGGGATATCCTAGATCTTTGATTAACCAGCTTTGCTTATGGTACGTTCACACCAACGGCGCTTTGATGGCGCTTTAAAGCGGCTTGTAAAGCGGCACCAAAGCGTAACAAAGCTTAATTAAAGCGTCGGGGTCGTAATAGGTCGTAGAAAAGCTCGGGAGTAAAGCGGGATATTCGGCAAGAGCGCTAAAAAATTTAAACTGTTTAAGCGTTCGCACCAACGGCGCTTTGATGGCGCTTTAAAGCGGATTGTAAAGCGGCACCAAAGCGTAACAAAGCTTGATTAAAGCGTCGGGATCGTAATAGGTCGTAGAAAAGTTCGGAGTAAAGCGGGATATTCGGCAAGAGCGCCAAAAAATGTTAAACTGTTTAAAAATTTTGGGCGCTCTGTTACGAATTGATTGAAGCGCCGAGAGCGTATCAAAGCTTAACAAACCGTAACAAAGCTCAACAAAGCTTGACTCAAAGCGTAGGAAAGCTTAACACAGCTTGGTTCAAAGCGGGGACCCCAGTCTATTCACGGTCTGTTACCACTTGACACGCTTCGTTAAGATGTCTCAAGATTTGCTACGATCTGGCATGAAGATCTGACACGAGGTCAGACGCTTTTATCAATATCTGACACTCTTTGTTACACTTTCCTGAGGGACTCTCAAGCTTTCTAACGAATTGAGACGCTTTAATCAAGGATTGAAACGCTTTGCTAGGCTTTGTTACGCTTGAAAGTTTTCACACGCTATATCACGCCGTGCGACAAACGTCATGTCTTCTTCAGATAGGTCATGCTCTGGTCCATCTGGAATTTCTGGATCTCGTTGTTCTGCCATCGTGTTCTCGAGTCAAAGATGCAATGGTTTTATGGATCTACTGCATCTTTATATAGTCATTGGATCAAAAGCGGCATGGAATCGGCGATCTCGACATTTTCCAATGCGTGCCAGAGCTTAACAGAGCGTAACAATGCACAACAGAGTTTTGCAATCGTATCAGAGCCTGATTTAAAGCGTCATAATCGCATCAAAGCGTAATAATGCTTATCAAAGCTTTTCAAAGCGTGATTTCAAGCGTAACAAAGCCTGATCAAAGCGGGATCAAAGCGTGAGGAACC